TAACCGAGACACACTAGCCCCTTACGGCCAAGGTCGCAGCAGACCAGACTTGCACAGGAAGTGTTGCTGGTATGGACAACGTCTGCATGGTAAGATGCAATAACCAAGCCAACGCCGGACCATTCGGAGGCTGTGTGCCCGTGCAAATGATGAGCCCAGGAGCAGCTGGTGGAGACAAGAACTCTACGACTGAGGCAGCACCCAAGGCAGCAACTGAAGCAGCACCAAAGGAAGCTGGAAAGGAAGCTGGAAAGGAAGCTGGAAAGGAAGAACCGAAAGAGGCTGGAAAAGAAGCCGGAAAGGAAGCTGGAAAAGAAGCACCAAAGACAGCTAGAAGCTTCAAGGCTTAAATGATAAGAGATCAAATGACGCTGCGACTCTCAGTATCTGAGATCGATCTGTCATCATCAGATAGTTTAGCTTCCTTTCTATTCTTCTATACCTTCACCCTTTATATCTAATCAAACCTTTAACTAATTAAAAACACTGAGTTTTGATGCTTGTGAAATATGAAGAGATTCAAAAGGTCGATGATTGATTGTGAAAAGTAAATTATCTAATGGAAGCTATCATTAGAAAATTAATCTCATCTAGACCCAGGGAACTACCGAGCTTTGGCTCGTGTCAAATGATTTAGATCGTTGAGAATCGAGATAATAAGCTTTGGAATTTCTAGCTCTCCTTCTAGAAAGCGGTCGGCTTGGGTGTTATATACAGCGAAGTTGATCCGGACCAATATGTCTATTTTCTGAGAGGTACACAGACAGGTGCTAAGTATGAGTGTATTCAGGCTTCTTGAGTGCGTATACAGCAAAATTTTAGTTTACAGTCTGAGTATCAGGGGCCGAAGTTAGAAACAGTTACTGGGTTACAATAGTTGCTATGGGTTACGAATGGAATAAAAGAGTGATTGCAGACGTTCTCTTTGGGAACCTTACTTGCTCCCATTATGTTTGCGTGCTCATGTATTGGAGATAGATCTTGCCTCGTGTGGTAAGTAAGCAAACCTCTGTAGGTACTGTTTGTAGTACGAAGATTAATCTTTCCGTGGAACTGCTTTTCTTGCTTGTATCCTTACTTGTGCACATGACGGAGAACAATCCTATTTAATACTGAGCTCGTCTGTCTACTTGATTGTAGAAGATTCCATCCTGTGGTGTAGAATACTCTACATTCTTCCCTATCTCATCCACGTACAAGTATCCATGGTGTCATGAAGCTAACCGTATCTTGTATAGGTCTGTATATCACCTACTGCAGCTTACATGATGTTTACTTTGATTTTATTTTGCGTCAAATTTTAATTGCGTATGCAGCTATCTAGCTATGACACAATGTCAAAGAAAAGTAAAGAATAGATGATTCAACGTAAAGGAAGAGCACTCATGCTCCCACTGCGAAGTTATGGTGGCATTTTCTTCACCCCAAGTCAATCCTCATCCGTGAATACCCACCTAGGGGAACGTCTCAATAATCCCGAGGTATCCATACATGCCTCTATCATTCATATACTTTTCTCCGCGCGAAATGTGATCTGAGATGTCTCCTTCCCAAGTGGAACAGGTGCCCAGGCTACTCAAACTATACCAGAGAACATCACCAGGAGACGGATCACAACACTTTCCATCGTTGGCTTGCGTTTATAGTGCCAGCTGCACTCTCGCGAGTGAGGTCTTGGCGCGCACAAAGCTCAATTCGTAACTACTCCTTGCCAAAATTCAGAATGTCACGCTCGTCGAGATTGTATCAATCCACTGTGCCATTTTGTCAACTTGCCCTGATTCCTCTCAAGTCCATCCCGAAGAAGTATCTCACGATTTTTGCGCCACGCTTTGCTTTCTTCGTCGGGTGTAAACACCAGCGTGGGCGTGTGTTTGGTGACGAGCCGAAGCCAGAGAAAATCTACGAGAGGTGTGATCATTGGAATGAGGATGTGCTAGGTCGTACTTGAAGACTTGATGAGGCTCAGATTGGAGTGAAAATTTGATATAGTAGAGCATTTTGAACCATTGCCTCTTAAGCCAATTTCATTAGTATTTCGAAATTTCACTGAACTTGGCTCTGGGAGAATATTTCACTCCTAGCCTCGTAGAAAGCACCGCGTACAGGTGTTCAGTCTTGCCCTCCTAAGAAGTTACTAAGTAGATGCGAACCACAAATAAAATTTAGAGTCGCCTTGTATCTCAGAAAGAGCCAAGGTAAATTTGTTGGAAAATATACTCTGTACGATATTATATGGATAAATATGATGAAGTAAAGAAGACTTGATATTTTACAACTGTATGAACATTGGACTTATATATACATCCAAGGGAGAAATTCCCGCTAGTCTCGTGTGCCTATCAAACCTAGTGATGACTAGCCACCTCTCATCTACCATGGTGATCCAAGGTACACTGTAGTACGTAAATATCCAAACGTATAGGCGACAGTAGGCACGATTAGCGTACTCGGGACATTTGTAGAAAGAGTCGATCTTGTCGGGAACCTAAGACGAAATAGGTAATGGTTGAGTCCTAAATTCGAAAGTCAGAATTTCCAACAAAATTGCATCGGGATATAAGTCGAAAGCAAACATAAGAACGTTTATGATGGACGAATTTTCATCAATATCGATCCTTGCGAGGCTGGTACGATACAAGGTGTTATATCTGCAAGAACTTTTTAATTTTTCTCTTGTTTTCTTCAACCCAACAGTACTTAGTCATATAGCTTGATGTGAGTTTTCAAACTCATTACTACCACAGATGTGACGGTTTGTGAGCCAATAAAGTGCCTATAGCCTATGCTGTTCAGTACATGGATATTATAAACGTCAGCGCCAAGTTGCGCTGGTCTTCAAAGCCAGGAATTGCCTGTGCACAAAGCATTATTGGTAACTTGTTGTGATATCACTAGTCAATGACCGGCTCGGCGCCGACCATGGATATAACTGCTGTCGCTCCTGAACAGTGGGTTCAGGATCGCCGAATTGGAACATTGCGCGTAAGTGATTAAGGCAGCGCAGCAGCGTGTATGCGAAGCGCGAGCGCTAGCCGTTGGAACAGCGGAAGGCTTTCATGAATAACAGATTCATGAGCAGTTAACTTTTAGCTAGGCACGCTCTGGGCAGTAAGTCATAAGGTAAAACGTAGACGACGACATGGGTCATGTTGGAGGATATAAGTAGTCTATGTTCTATCTGATGATCAGTATCGCAACTGACCCGATCAACCTCATCTCCCATAATTAGCTTCAGGTTAAACAAGTGACAAATAACTATGTTCCCATTTAGCTCACAACCTTAATATAATTGGCTCACACCTTAATAATGGGGGTTCGTCTGGAGGATAGCTACTATTCTTCAGAGCAATATGGTCGCGTACTTGAGTTACGTATCGAATGCGGTAGTGGGTTTTGACCTCTAGTTAATATTACTTTTAGACATACAAACGCCCAATCTTTCTATATGGAAACTTTTCCAACAAATCATCTCACCTCAGTGATCGATAAAGTTGTAGCAGCAATTTCAAACAGGAATTAGTCTCACAAATTGCCGAAGATATCTCGCCATCAAATTATGATTCTACTTATACCTGCAAGAAGGAAAATAGGCCATAATGTACAAAGCTCTAGACTTGGCTTGTGAGGACCGCGATCCTAATTTAGTTATACATCTTGAGAAAGGATAGGTAGCTGTGACGTGAAACTAGAGAAAGAGGGTTATCGATTGGCCTGCTCGAACTGCCATTTCCGAGAATTTTCAGTACTTGGGTATTGCTAGGCGCCAAGACTGAGATTTTGGATAGTCATTTTGATACTCTCAAAACAGAGCGCAGCATGTATGCTTGGGTCGATGAAGGTGTGAGAATATGATTTCGGCCATTAAGTCGAATTTAGGCACAAATCAAGGTGTTTTTCTAGAAGCTGATCTATGGTGGGAAGATGTCAGCGGCTTCAGGCAAGGCTTAGTGCCTGTAAATCGTGTTTTCTTATTTTTTCCTGTTTGGAAACAAATTTGTCGTCTTCGTAGTATTGAGCCTTTTGGAATTAAATACCCGTGTCATATCTTGTGCATGCAAGGCTCTTGTCTGGTACGTTAAATATAATGAGACAAATCAAGTAAAAGGCCACGTGTTTTTATGTTTATCGAGGAGAGGTGAACACGACACGGAGATTCTAAGCTGCAACATTTCTTTTTATTTTGGATTCTCCAGCCCAGCCGGGCATAGCATTAAAGTTTGATGTAAGCCACTCAGATTGTGCACCCGGATCATGAGTTTAAGGTGTAAGACATAGATCTACTACGGCTAGCATTCAAATCAAATCAAGTCGAGGGCGACGTACCTCAGACATCACATAATAGCTTGGATCAAAATTTTGTTATCTGCTATGATAAAAATAAGGAGAAAGATGGAGGGATAGCCTTAATATGAGGATCGGACGTCTCGGCCGGGGATTTCTTGATTTCCCAATGTCACGGGATAGTAGTGTTCATACCAGAAAGGCCTAAGCCTTAACAATTCGAAGTTATCAGTTAGATGAAGTCATAATATATGGCAACTGCTTAGCCAATGCGGATTTGTTGAAAATTTAGTCCTGCAAAGAAATGACATAATGGTGGTGACAACAAATAACATAAAGACGTGTATAAAAAGCCTTTAGTGTTTCTCCTTCAGTACTCTTCACAGGAGCACCATCGCCTCTATTGTTATCCTGAGCCTTGGAAAAATCTAACTTTTTTGCTCGTAGGTTTGTTCCGATGGTGTCTAAAGTCCTTAACGTTTGATATGGCCCTCTCCTATAATTCCTCAATTGTTCTCTTCAATTCTCCGGAAAGTCTTTCGGGACAACTGTAGCGAATTTGCTAATACACTTGCAAAATTCTGCAGCAGGTATTTGATAACAATTGATCAAATACAGACTCCAAAGAATCCCACTGAGGTACACTGCTTAGACATTAGTATCGTTTTTTGGTATGTGTGATCGGGAGATCAACGCACTTAGGCCGGATGGCTAATTTAATCTAAATCAGACACTTCGCGGTAAGGGAACTCAAGGTAATCTTGTATTCTATATTGATCCATTAATGAACTAACTCTTCTACCCGAAAAGTCTGCAAATCTAAACTCGTACTCTCCAAAGTAATCGGGATCACTCCTTGTCTTGCAAAACCCTATGCTTTCAAAAAGTTTGATGCTTTTTTGGTTTTCGCTGCCAATCTTGACCTTTAGACTGAGATGATTCTCCTCGCTGTTTTGCCCTCGATATTCAGCAAGTATTTCGTCCGTGTGGTTACTAACATATCGTAAGAATCCGAGTAAAGCTGTGCGAGCGTATCCATTTCGTCTAGCTTCAAGCGGCGCAATCATTACTTCTAGTTCTCCAATAAAATTATTGGTAATCTCATCGGCAGCGGATATAAATAAATTCACATCTCCAACCATAAACTCCGAAGACGCAAAAACTCCAGTCCTAATGTCTTCTGTATATCTATGGGGAACAGTACATATGATAAAAGTCAGTTTATCTGCATCAGTACGCCAATTTTTTTGCATGTCATACTCCTCTGCAAGAGTAAGTCGTTCTGATGCAGTTGATTGTCGAATTTCCTGGACACACTTTAGACAAGATCAAATGAACAAAACTGCTAGTTGTGTACCTCCGACTTCATCCACTCATGGTATACTGCCACGTGTTTTCTCTCGTATGGCACGAGAACTATGTTGGAACACAGGACAGCTGTCGGAATAATAATGTGAACAATTTTGTCTTGGACATAATTCGTAGAATCTTGCTTACCGATACTTTGATTGATGATCATTGCAGGGAGTCTTGAGATTGAGTTGGGCTCGAGTAGATTTACCAATCTGATTTGACTTCATCTAGCCTGGTCATGTACTATGTAGGCCCATGCATGTAAATCTAGCAAAAATATTTACAGATGAGACTGAACCGTTGAAAATCCCCCAACACTATCTGTCTCGTGTCCATTGGGTTTCCTGGGGTTATCTACAGGAAGTGCGATTACAATGTTCGTCTAGTGTGAATTCTGTCCTATCCTTGTCCACATTGCCTCGTCTTTTCGTCCAATGCAATTTCTACTTCGTCTCCCGCAAGCCGGAATTGTTCAAACCAGCCTTAAGCCTGGATCAACGTTTTAGTTCTCCCTATATCATGTGGACTGTTCATCATTTCCGCAAAGGATCTATCTTTTGCTTTTAGAAGCACCTCTCCTCTTCCTCTTGACCACTGTCGAAACACCAAGACCATATGTTTGATATTTTAAGATGGACCTCCACACTAAAATTTTGGATTGATCACCCCAGAGACTTTCCTTTGATATAGATAAGAATTGAGACCGGCGTGCTCACCTCTTATGTGAGCTGCAATACTGCTTTGGGCCCTGCTTAGGTAACGGTAGATATTGAAGGGAGTTTTACTACAGGTAATACTTTTTATGCCTGTTGTCTTGTCTTTTTTTTGCATCAGATTTAAATTGCGTATGCAGTATCTAGCTATGACACAATATCAAAGAAAAGTAAAGAATAGATGATTCAACGTAAAGGAAGAGCACTCATGCTCCCACTGCGAAGTTATGGTGGCATTTTCTTCACCCCAAGTCAATCCTCATCCGTGAATACCCACCTAGGGGAACGTCTCAATAATCCCGAGGTATCCATACATGCCTCTATCATTCATATACTTTTCTCCGCGCGAAATGTGATCTGAGATGTCTCCTTCCCAAGTGGAATAGGTACCCGGGCCACTCAAACTATACCGGAGAACACCGCCAAGAGGCTGACCACAACACTTTCCATCGTTGGCTTGCGTTTATAGTGCCAGCTGCACTCTCGCGAGTGAGGTCTTGGCGCGCACAAAGCTCAATTCGTAACTACTCCTTGCCAAAATTCAGAATTTCACGCCCATTGAGGTTGTAGCCTAACTTGCATCATCTTGTGACCTTGTACTGATCTCTCTCACGTCCATCCCAAAGAGCTATCTCCCAGATTTGTGCTCCACGCTTTGCTTCCTCCGTCGGGTGTAAACATCGGCGAGGGTTTGTATTCGATGACCAGCTGAGGCTAGAGATAGTCGACGAGAAGCTTGGTCATTGGAATCAGGATGTGCTAGGTCGTACTTGAAGACTTGATGAGGCTCAGATTGGAGTGAAAATTTGATATAGTAGAGCATTTTGAACCATTGCCTCTTAAGCCAACTTCATTAGTGTTACAAAATTTTACTGAACTTGGGTCTAGGAAAATATTTCACCCCCAGGTTCGTAGAGGATACTGCATACGGGTGTTCAGTCTGGCCGTCCTCAGTCGTACATCATCTGAGCCCGTCGGGGGACTATTCTTAACACCAGTCAGTGGTATCCCCTACGAACTTCAAGCTCTCGCTGAAGACTCTGCAGAGCGGATGTTGAGTGACAAACTCCTCACTTCGACGAGGATTCCCAATCGCTTTCGCCGTCTGTATCGTCTTCATCTCTCAACACATCTCCTATCACCATTATCATGAAGCTGACCACCATCGGATCAGATAGTAGGGTTAAAGCCCTTCTTATCACCAACGCTTGATCATGGAGGAGATTCCATCCGATGAGTTTCCGGAGCGTACCCAGCACCCGATACGGAGATGGTGGATTGGATCAAGTCGGCCTCGACTGTTACAAAGAAGGGAGACATAGATGAATATGCGCACCTCATGTGGTCCCGGTGTCCAGGCCCAGACTGGCTGGGGCTGCAGGTTTCACGCAACTTTTTCCCGCGCACGCAGTCTCCATTGCAACCATTTTTTTTGGGTAGAAGGTTTCGCGGAAAAGGTGGCTGAATTCCACGGGTAAACACTGAGATGAGTGGCTATTCATCACGAGCAATATATTAATGATCTCACAAATAACAAAAGAGGCAAGGAGCACTGTACAAGGTGTCGCCTAGGTCAGAGAGGATCCCTATGTGCTAGATAGTCTGACTCAATTAGTGCAATAAAAATTACACAAACATCTGAGTTCGTCCTCCAACCAGAATCTAGCAAGCTTGGAGATATATCTCACTTGCGGAAGGCGATTGCTAGTTGGAATTGGGAAATGCATAATTACACCTCTCGCAGCGCTGGTGTGCATGGATGGCAAGGTCATGCCTGGATCAAAAGTTTTAAACTTTCCTTTGGTAGTTACTTACGGAAGGTCAACCGTTTGTGTCAAAAACAAACCTCAAAGTGGTATCTGCGAATGGAATCCAAATTGTGAGTGTCTTTAACTTCAAAGGAGATATCCAACATGAATACGTAGAATTGATCGTGCTTGTTTCGCACGTTTTCTCAATATTTTCCATCCAGTATTTATCAACTCACAGGCATAAATAAATTATTGGTTGTGTTTGTCCTGATTAGTCCTCCTGGTGCATTAAATCGACGCCAGCAGGGTGGATGGGACGAGCTGTCTAGGCTCATAGTGGTCTTTCTTCCACGAACGATATTTTAATTAAGTGACGCTCAGGCGCATGAAGAGCACGAGAGGTAGGCAATATGTGGATTCATTTCATTTGAATGGGAAGAAATAAAGTGAAGTTTTTACTTAAACCTGAATTTTTGCATCAATTTAATATCTTTGGGCATTCCAAAGTTTGACTGAATATATTGTCACATTGCGGTGGATTGGCGTGGGTGATAGGAGTCTTGTTGCATAACTGTTTCGAGCCTCGTGAAATTTTCTATTATTATAGAGGTTCATCTAACGCTGACTCATGTTCTAGTAATCAATTTTATTCTCAAACGAGAGAGAGGTGTGTTTATTGTACTACTTGAGTCTTGATTCTGAGGCGAAATGCTTGCAGTTGGCTTTAAGCTGATGATAAGTACGCAAGAAATTTATTCGGAAAATTTCCGACACATAGTTATAGATTATGTATCGGGGGACTAATCTTAATACCTGTCAGCGGTGTCCCCTACGAACCTCCAGCTCTCACTGTAGAGTCTGCAGAGCCGAGATTGAGTTACAAAGCCCTCACTTCGAAAAGGATTCCCAATCGCTTTCGCCGTCTGTATCGTCTTCATCTCTCAACACATTCCCCTATCACCACTATCATGAAGCTAACCACCATCAGATCAGATGGTAGGGTCGGAGCTCTACTCATCACCAAACCTTGATCACGGAGGAAAAGCCACCCGATGAGTTTCCGGAGCGTACCCAGCACCCGATACGGAGATGGTGGATTGGATCAAGTCGGCCTCGACTGTTACAAAGAAGGGAGACATAGATGAATATGCGCACCTCATGTGGTCCCGGTGTCTAGGCCTCGCCTGGCTGGGGCTGCAGGTTTTTTGAGACTTTTTCCCGCGCACGCAGTTTCCATTGCTACCATTTTTATTTTTTTTGGGTAGAAGGTTTCGCGGAAAAGGTGACCGAATTCCACGGGTAAATACTGAGCTGAATGGCAATTCATCAAGGGGAATATATCAATGATCTTTCAAGTAACAAAAGAGGATAGGAGCACTGTGCAAGGTGTGGCCTGGGTCAGAGAGGAGCTCAATGTGCTAGATAGTCATAGACTCAAGTAGTACAATAAACACAAACACATAGATTATGTATCAGAATAATATTAAGAGAGAATCTCACAATTTCTGGATGATTAACTACACATCGAGGACAGGCTGTTTGATATGTTTGTCCTAGAGGTGACGATTTATATTTTGAAATTTTCAGTTTTCGTATACGACTATGATCTGCTTCGCAAAAGCTCACTCAGAGCAGATGATTTATCCTGAACGGCAGAAATCTATCTTTTCTTTTTCACTTCAGGTGTCGCATCCCTGGACCCTAAGCAGTGAGACACTACCATATTTCTCGCAGCGCTGGTCTACATGGATGACGAAGACTTGCTAGGATAACCAAAGGGTTTGAAATTCCCTTTCGTGGGTACTTACGGAGGAGAGTCAACTGTTGGTATAAACAAGCATTACTCATAGTGGTATTTGCGAATGAAATCCAGAGTATAAGTGTCTTTAACGTCAAAAGAGTCATCCAACATGTATACATAGCACCGGTCATGTGTCATAGCTAAATAGCTGAATATTGTGAGCAGATTTATTTACTTATAATATTTAACGTGGTGCCCGCGCACAGCATGTGAGCTCCTCACGTACCGGTTAGGCCAGTCTAAATTAAACTACCCAACGTGTTGGCGCCTACACAGACCCAAAAAAGCTGGGGTGAAGAAAAAGCCACCATAACTTCGCAGTGATACTTGCAAATGAAATCTGAGGCATGAGTGCTCTTCCTTTACGTTGAATCATCTATTCTGTACTTTTCTTTGATATTGTGTCAAAGCTAGATAGCCGCATACGCAATTAAAATCTGATGCAAAAAAAAAAAAAAAGACCCAAAAAAGCAAATGGTAGCCAAGCTCTTATCATCCTGCGCTCAAAGATTATAGTGTACATGAAGGTCGTCCGTGGCATGTCTGGATAACTCAGGGTTTTTGAGACGTTCCCCTGGGTGGGTATTCACGGATGAGGGTTGACTTGGGGTGAAGAAAAAGCCGCCATAACTTCGCAGTGGTACTTTCAGTGGAAATCCAAAGCATGAGAGCTCTTCTCACATATCGAGTCATCTTATCTGTACTTTTCCTCTGGTACTGTGTTAAAGCTAGCTAGCTGCATACGCAAATAAAATCTGATGCAAAAAAACATGTACGACTGGGCCACCCTCACAGGTCGGTGTTCACAATATCGTCCGCACACATTACCCATTTAGAAAGGGTTTGTCCAAAACTCGAAACATAACCCCATCCAATTTGTATCCGCTCCTAAAAATATCTTGTCCATCTATCCTAAGTATCTCTTGTGTACATCCCAAAACTCTGCCTCCCGGGGTTGCGCACCTCGATTTTCTTCTTCCGGCGCGTGCGATTATCACCATGGGCGTATATTTAGCGATCAAATACGGCCAACTTTGGTAAATCGAAATTCGGCTTGACATGCCCCCCAAAAAATATTTCACCACCAGGCCTGAAGAAGACACCGCGTTTGAGTATTCAGTCTTTGCCCTCCGTCATACATATACATAGACTCAGAAATAAAAAAAAGGAAAAAAAAAGGAAAAACCCTATGGAAACTATTCACAAGTCATTGGGAAAGAGAGGCCAGTAATAGTCTTAGCAGTCCTAGAATATGGAAGTGCTTTACTAGTCAAAAGTCGGCAATGCACATGAAGATTATCGGCCTGCCTTGGCCTAAGTAAGAACCATTAGAGTATCAACAGTGATTTCTGGCGAGAATACACTCGATCGTCAAAAGTAGACTGGGGTTATAGCTGGGTGTCCGGTGAACATCAGATTTGTCGTTGGCATGGCTAAGAAAATGATGATAATTCTAGAAGCGATTGTAAAGGGTGGTGATGAAAGGATTGGAAAGTTCCACTCATCTTGATAGTGGATCTTTTCTAAAATGAGGGCATAATTCCTCCAAAATGATAGCGGAGCGAGATGATTGAGGATTTATATGCAAAATATCGCTCTGTCGCGTACGGTCAATGATCAGAACTTTTAATCTTCACAATCTACCGTCTTTTGTCCCAGCCAATTTTCAAAGCATTCATCACCATGCGCTTCTTCATCATAGCCCTGATCCTTCAGTGCGTCAGCTTCTCCATGGCAAAACTTGAGAGTTATCAAATACCTCACATACCGGAGGAACAGAAAACTTTTAATTGTGATGGAAGAATCTATGATTTTAAGAAAATAAATAATCTCAGATCCTCCAGAACAATGTTAAACCTTGATTATTTAGGGTACAGGGACACAATTGGATTTAGTGAGATAGCCAGAGCGCAGGCCATAAACACAGTAGTCATGTATCACGACGAATCAACGACCACCAAGTATCAATTGATAAGTTTTTATTTTTCATCTGAATGCGAGTGTTAATTCCTTAACAACGGCGCGCCTAGACTAATAGACCCGGCAGCGACTGAATACATTGAGGACCTATTCGCTTATGATGAAGAATCGCGAGCGTGTGCCATGATCATCAAATCTACAGGGCGTTCAATTCTTCCTAAATATAGATCGGGTTCTACTGAACATCCTGCTCCAAAATATAGGTTCTGCCTTCTTAAGTAACGACGTACTGACTGATAAGCTGAGGAGGTTGTGCAGAAAGATGCTAACTATGCTTGAAACCACCATTTCAAAAACAGTGATGAACGTTGACACCATGCTTCATAAGAGACACACGGGAGACGCGCAGAATCAGTCTTGCAAACTGAGTCTGCGCCTCTGGTACTTTTATTTTCTTCTAGCGTTTGTTGCGTTAATGGAGAGCGCGAGTTACTCGAGGTTCGACGCGGTTTAATAAATGAATCTCCTTTTGGTCATTCATGGTATATTCCCTCACCGAGCTATGGCATAGGACTAGTGTCTCTTTTTTCAGCATTTAACGTTTATTCAACTTTCTAGCTACGACACATGACCAATGCTACGTATACACGTTGGATAATTCTTTTGACGTCAGAGACACTCATACTCTGGATGAGAGTTGCAAATACAACCAAGTTATGTTTTCTTACAAAAAAAGTCGACTCTCCTCTCTAAGTGGCCACAGAAGAGGAGTTCAAAAGCTTGGATTATCCAAGCATGACTCCGTTATCCATGAACTTAAGCACCGCGAGAAATATCGTTCAGTCTTGCCAGATTCGAATGAGCGTTCTCCAGTGTCTAGTGGGCTATGTGCCCAATCCTTTCAGATTCTAGTTGATAGATCGGCCTATATTAGGTACTACAGGGCCATCTAGCCAAGGCGGTGTTAAAAATGTCCCCTGTAGAGAACGAGGAAGTCTTGGTGCAGACAATGCTTTCCAATCCGTATCCTCCTGCGAGTATTCATATTCATGTTGCCGTGTACGTGAGGGCCAGAGACTTGTGGGAGGGGAGATGTGGTAATCAAAATGAGGATACACTAGATCTTGAAGAGATAATGAGACTTTTGTCGGAAGTGGAAATTTGATTTGTTGAGTATTGTTGCATTGCCCCGTGTTCTAGATTCCTTGCTATTGCGAAATTCGACTGAACTTGACTCTGAAAGAAGAATTGCCTCAGGTTTGCAGAAAGCACCGCGGACAAGTGCTGACTCTAGCTCAGCCCCACCAGTCAAAACTGAATGGAAGCTAATAAACGTCATAATTATGCACTATCTCGCTCTGAAGGGAAGGTCCTCACACGAATTTATGCCAGCTGTATGTACAGGAGAGGCAGAAGATAGTTACATTGTCTGATCTCCTTTAATTCTCATTAATATGGCAGTCTTGCCGGGAAAGACGAAATCTTAATCTTCTGCTGATGCCGGTTTGATCGCCCAGAATGCTCTGTATTATTAAGGAAATAATGACGCCTCAGTCATTGAGGTTGTAGAGCGCATTGATTCTAGTAACTACCTAAGTGAAACTAAGTACAGAATTTGCAGTCACGTCTATATCAATAACGTGGCCCACTTGATAGCCCCAATTATTTTAAATTCCAACATATGTACCTGAGATAGCCAAAAAATTGGCATTGGAATTGATGTTGAGAGCGCAGCAAAATTTTCAAATTCGGCACTCTCTCATCAACATCGATCTTGTCGTTCTCACGCTGATCACTCAATTGAATCTTACGACACATCACATCGTCCCATCGATCGATAAAGACACTTCTTCAAATGCAGAGAGAAGCTTGCCTTATCATCAGCCATCATCTATTACCAAATTTATGATGCTATCTATATCTGCAAGGAGGAAATTAGGTCACAAGATGCAAAGCTCGGAGTCTGACTTATGGCGAGTTGTTACTGTGTTATTTGCTTCAGATTTTAATTGGGTATGGAGCTAGCTAGCTTCAACATAGTACCAGAGAAAAAGTACAGAAAAGATGACTCGATATATGAGAAGAGTTCTCATGCCTCAGATTTGATTTGCAAGTACCACTGCGAAGTTATGGTGGCTTTTTCTTAACCCCAAGTCAACCCTCATCCGCGAATAACCACCCAGGGAAACATCTCAAAAACCCCGACTTATACAGACATGCCTCTATTGAGCGGAGAAGTTTGTAAAAGCTTGTGGCTATTAGGCACAGGTTATATCATTTGGCGAAGCGAGTGGGAAAGATAGGAGAGTTTGTAAATCTGTCGCGGAGAGCGATGAAGTTAAAAGCCTAAGCTAAGATGGACATGAGAGCTAAAGATGTGTCAGCGGTCAATCCAATACAGCAAGGCTCATTTGAGGTTGTGAAAAGGAAGATTTGAGTAAAACAATCATATAGATATGTATAGTTCGGAGTAAACCTGGACGATAAAAGGCGAAATCGTGTGATTGCATCTTTTTAGAATGTGGCTTTTGACCCGTATTTATGAATCTTCATGCATCATGACTAATATTAGCTGTAGATGTTAAAATTATGGAGTACAGAGATAAGTCAAGTGGTTGTTAATGGAAGTAATTGATGAAGGGTTTGGTTGTTTAGTTTTCTATTGTTTCTGTGCGCGCTCATAGTCATCAACTCCTTTCAAATCGCCCTTTAGTTTCAATTTCATGATTATATCTACGACCGCGAACAATGCCTGACCCCCCTCCTCCACCTATTCCTCCGTTAGTAGTAGGGGCACCAACGACACTGACAGAAACGCTGAACCAAGCGACTTCCGCTGCTAACACAAGAACGCAGGAGGCAACTCTTTTGTTTGGCAGCGTCGCCGCAGCATTGGATAATGTCACATGTGGTACGGCTGCCTCTACAATCCCCCTCCATTTGCAGAAAACATATAACGAGTTCTTGACCCCTATGCAAGCTGTTGCACAAGAATTTTTCGAAAACCATATGCGAGGTGTACCAATTCCCGCAACAACTACCCACCTTCTGACATCTCAGCCGAAGCCAGTTTCCCATGCGAAGCTCTCATACGCGAACGTTGCAAGAAAACCGAAGGGCAATGCTGGAGTTAGCACCCCTCAGAAACTGAGACCTTCCAATCTCCAAAAACAGGCCAAACCGCTGCCTTTGGATGATCGGTTGTTTCTACGCCTTGATGAAAACGCGACAGAACGCCTTATATCAACGAACTCACTCCTCCTTCAACTCCGAAATTTCCTTGGAGAGAATTCTACCATGCCGAAGGAAGTGCAACATGTCCCATCTGGCCTAGCCCTCCGTCCATCTTCAGAAGCGGCCTTAACTAGATAAGAAGACTTTTTCGTCCAGGGAATTGGAGAAGGGAGGTTTCCAGGTGTACAGGGCATTGAAAAAGCTCAAAACCTGGATAGTTACATAATCACATCTGTACCTCGCACATTCACAACTTTAGATAAAAATAACCGTCTCGTCAAAGAGCCAATCATCCCAGAGCTCGTTCTAAAGGAACTTAAGGAAGAAAATGGGTTTAATCCTACTGTTGTAGTCGAGACTAAGGGAGGTATTGCATCTCCCTACGATCCATCCGCCAGATTTATCGCTCGCTTCCCCACGGGCTCTCGTCTCCCAAGAAGGTTCCGTCTTTTCGGGATGGGCATCATCTGCCGTAAACTGTCCAAGAAAGTTAATATCGCTCAATGCAGTAGATGTTTTCAATGGCATAATCAGCGTATCTGCGCCCGTGCTCCACGCTGCCGTCTCTGCGGTTCAGTCGAGCATATAGAGGAAACCCACAAGCCGTGTGGGCCACACCACTCCCGCTACAGTAGATGAAGAAATGACTGACACCCCTTCGGGCTAAGCCCCCATCTACACGCAAGCCACTACCCCCGGTCCATTAATGCTGGAAGGTCCCCTAAGCTCGACCCAGCTTGTTCGGACCACCTCACCTTCACCCCCGCGTCCCACAGTTTTCCTTGGGAATCGCTACGCTATTCTAGACGTTGAAGATGAAGTCTAGACGGCACAGGTCTATAGGGCCACTGCGTCTCCTGCAGATCAACGTCTGTAGGGGAGCCTCTTCACATGAGCTTGCACTTACCTTTGCGAATGAAGAAAGATTCGACATCGTTCTCATTCAAGAACCCTACATCTACACTGATCGACAACGCCAGATCACTAAATTCAATCCTAACTATGAGTGCTTTACCCCCACGGATGACTGGTCATCCCGGCCTCAAGTACTCACATATATACGCAAAGGAGCTGGACTACAAGTATGTCAACAACGGCCCCTCCCTCTAATGAGCACAGCTGCGAGAGATCTCCTTTTCTTGGAGTTTACCGCGTCATATGGGGCAAGCCTCTTAGTAGTGAACGTGTACAACGCTCCGGCTGGCTCAAACAATGGCGGTGAGGCCATCAGAGCCCTCCTCAATCTCACCTTTCCAGGTCATTCAAACCGAATCTTCCTCGCCGGAGACCTAAACCTCAGGCACACGCGGTGGCAGGCATCATCCCAAACTGCCAGCCCCTAGCAGAACCATTTATTGAGTGGACGGACAGACTCAACATCACTTTAATCTCTGAATTAGACATGCCAACTCACACTCGTGGTAGCGTGTTAGTGTCACAGGGCGAGGGTACGAAGAACGAGGTAAATATTATATGTGAGTTGTGCGAAGAGAAGGGAAGAGACTATCTAGCTACACGATGGTCTTTAGAGGCTCAATTATCGCTTAATATCAAACCACGCCAACTACCATTCTACTACCGTGACAGTAAGATCTTGAATTCGCCTCTAGTCCACTGATACTTGCAGGAGCTGAGTCTTCAATAATCCCGGAGCTAGACGTCACATCTGAACATCTCCCTATTGTGTCTTAAATCCCGTGGGATAGCCACTTTAAGGAGCCAATATCCCTCCTAAAACTCAGCACATTTGACGAAAGACTTTTCCTCTCTCTTCTTGAACTAGAGATAGCAAGACTCATAGACCTTCCTGCAAATCTGCAGCCTGACTCTCTAGATCTCTTCGCTCAAAGCATCTGCACGGCCCTTCAGAACGCCTATAGAGCATCTGCACGGCGAGCTCGCGGAAAAGGGACTGAACAACCTTGGTGGACTAACGACTGCAGAAACTCTGCGCAGGCCTACCGGACAACTAGAACAAGCTCAACTGACCAAAACGCTATCACCGCCGGGAAAAAGCTATTGCATGCAGCTGTCCATAGGGCAAAGCG